TAGCGTTACGAAACTTTGAAAAGTTAACGATAGCCGAAAACGACGGATTCCTTTTGCTGAACACCCAAGTGTACGATAGGAAAGGTACATTAAGAAATAGGGAAATATTGATCATTTTGGATCACCGATAAATTTAAAAGAATCCAAGACATTACAGTGCGATGTGCCTTCTGAAGGTGAATTTTGAGGATTTAAAAATGAGATCATGTGAAAGACCACAACGCGGTGAAGATGGCATAAGTGACTAATTTCAAAAGTTTGAAAAACTTGTTCAGTGGCGCACAGACCATTACAAATAAGGCAGGTAATATTGCTAGCACCAATGAATACGTCAACAACAAAACCACTAGTACATCCGCTCAGGTGATAAATCACACATTTAAGTGGGCAGCTTTTAAGGAAGACGTTGTTTGCGGCAGATTCATGACGTGGAAACATGGATGGTAGAATCGACAACAGTTGGACGACGCTAATGAAATGACAGTTTTAGACATATCGCTTCTAAAATTAGAATCTCTCAAAGTGAGTGCACTTCGTTTAAAAAGTTCTTCCCGCCGATGCACTTTCAAACTTTGGATCATTCCGTGAGCTGCCGTACATCTCACGCACATGATCGTTAAATGAGAGGAGGTTGTCTGACGTACAATCGTTGTTCCTCATCAATGCATATTACGCGTGTTATCACTTGCAGTTTATCATTACGAGTTGAAACACCTTCACCGTTCGAGCCATGAGTGCGATGCCGCTGTTTTCACAGTTGCATGCTTAAATACCGTGTCTGCTTGAAGAGCTCCATAGGTCTCTAGAAACAAAGTGATAATGCGACCTTGAACGAAAGCATGTAGTGACTCGAACTGGTCGTACTGAACCCCAGCAGTAGTAGAAATCGAGGTACAGCATATATTAATAATGCTCAACAGCATGAATTGTGCTGAATGGAAATGAAAAGCACAAGGAGGTTTTTAACAGTTCAGATGTTGGCTGCCTAGCACTTTCGTGATTCATGTGGTTCGTTTCCATTCATGGAGTGCGGCTCTATGCCTTATTTCCATGCCACAAACAATAACGAACGGTTATGTTCCCATTAAGCAGACTGCTACTTATTTATCTAGCTCAGGGTAAATAAGGGTGAGTGATCCGGCCTAAATTAGACACCTTGACCTATCGGTTCTGAGTTCGATGTACTTCCGGCCCATCTGTATGTATAAATGTATACATGGATGCATGCGTGTATCAATGGACTGTTGTAGCATCTCTTTAAAGCATACCTTTTCAATGGGGTACATGCATGATGACAAGTTTTAGCCATGATTTCGTTGGCGGAATATATTATTGTGATTCGCCAAACTTCGCCCCTCTCCCTTGTCGTGATCCAAGTATTTTCTGTTATTCAGATATGGCCTATTTGCTTCGAAGAATGAGAAGATTCGACAGTCTTTGGCTATCGTTGCATCATCATTAATTCATGGTCTCGATCTTATTGAAGGCATCAATAGTGCGGCTTCCTAGGTGATGAAAAGTATGCACATCACCAGCTTTCTCACTCAGGTAAAGAAAAGATATAATTTTATAAACATTTTTTACTTATGTATGGAACGACACATACTTATGAGACAGTATTTCCATCGGCAACGATGGCTTCATGAAAAGGAATTGTTACTAGGTATTGGAGATATTGGAAGAGAAGAGCTGCAGAATAGCGGAAAGAAGCAGGCTTCGAGATGCACCGGTGTGGATTCGACCCCCAAAGAATTTTTCTTAACAGCCAAACTCACTGAGCAAAAAATTCACCTCTATTTTGCTTTGGTGCAAGCAGCAAAACAATGTTAAGCATAAGGAATGCATGAATGCAATGCAAGTGAAAATATATAACGAAACAGTCACCTGTTTGAACAGATCATCAGGCTGAAGTAATGTAAAAAGAAAAGGAGAATTTGCAACCTCACCAATATTTACTCACTGTTCTATAAAATGCGTCATTTATGGTGCCAGTATCTAATAGCGCCTATTCCCTGGCTTCTGCGCTATTAACCCATATAGCCTTCTATGTCAAGGCGGCCATGTCAAGTACACAATGTAGTCCGCTTCGCACAAGAGTTGTTCGTTTATCTAACACCTACGAATCGGAGGCAAGCTACAAAGCGGTGCATGAAAATGGAATAATTCGTTTTATAAGGACAATAATGATATCCGTCGAACTGTAGTATGAGATTCAGCCATCAGATGTGAATTGCAACTGTCATTACATATGAAAGTCAGACGCTATAAATTCAATTACATTCAGAAAAAACGGTAACGACTGAAAAAGTCCGGAACATAGACATTCGAAACATAGCCGTGGGATTCCCTCCTTCCTCAGGTCGATATATCATAATTGTGATATTTTGGATGTGACTGAAGATGCCACCATGAGGGATTCTCAAGAGGACCTTTATTCTCAGAGAAAAGTGCCCTATAGAAGAGAATCCTCGGCCCTTGGGCAGAGCCTATGGACCAGACTTACAGGTTATGACTCGATTATACAGAACACCTGGCATTCTCGCACCTTTGAATACTAGCCATATAACTTATCCGTTTTGTGGCTGAACGAGACCGTTTGTTTATCCCACTACGCCAGGTGAACAAGGGATTCTATGGAACAAAAAAGTTGCAAGGTCAGAAAGTCATCCTTCGTAAATAGGATTTTTAATAACGCCATAGTATAGCCTAACAAAAAGCGAATTTAATCGATTGGGTGCTGTTAGGCACATTATGTTCATTTTAACATTGTACTGGATGTGTCCGTGTAGCATCAGGCACTGATGCGGTCTGCGATTATGTATAATTTGTCATTCACCAGTCTAATGCAATGAAATAATCTCATGCTAGGGAAGCTGCGAACGGATGGGAAAGATACTCGCTAATCACTCATCCAATCTTCAGCCTTGAAAGGAAATACACCCTTGTGATGAACCCTACGGTACCGTACGTCGATGCCCAGTGAAAATGTTGTGTGACAGCAGCAGAAATTTGAGGTGTGAAAAATCGACAACTTCATCAACGAATACTTTCGAGGAACACTGCGCTTGAGAACTTTAAAGGTAGGACTAAGGCATTCGCCTATTTGCCTCCAACGTTGCGTTGAAAAGCAGTATATCGTGCAACTGTATGCTGATTCTCATCTGTGTGTGAGGTAATAAATGAATCGTTCAATTATGGATAGATTCCCTGTTTGCGCCTGCCTGAAATTGCTTTAAAGCTAACCGTTTTGTCTAACTGTTTTGCCCCTTTTTTTCTTCCCTAGGTGGTCAGCCAAACTGTATATCTAACCAATTTAATACAAATTTAATTATGACGTACGAGGAAACTCATCAAGAATTTTATTACAGCAGCTAATCAGATGACGCACTACTCCTTTCAGCCAGATTCCTCGGCGTCTTGCATCATTCTCCTATGTCCGAAGTCACCTGGGGGTCCACATGCAGATTACCATTTCATGGTAGTTGAACATTTGCTGTTGTAAATGCAATTAACATCCTTTTGCTAGAGCCAACGGACCACCATTGCAAACGATGTTTCAGCAGCTGGTATTCCTTTATGCTGCTACATTACCATTAAAATATCTTAATATGCCGCAGTATATCGTAAAACGCATAACTTCTCCAATAAGAAATTTAACGCTGTACTGTACCGCCCTCTTGCATCTAGTTGCTTGGGAGGGTGGAGGGGGGAGAGGGGGGCATCTGCGTAGACCACAGCTCCGTGGTATTTGAGCGCTTGCAGTACGCATATTTTGATGTTTATGCTAAAAATGCTGTAATTAGTAAACCCGCTGCCCTAATATTTACACTATCGCCAATAGAGCAAAATGCAACAAGGAGCTAACTGAGTATTTCCCACTCTAGGCTTCTTGGTCCTTCCTAAATTACATGCATATGTTGCTCGCTCCAGGATGTCAGTCCCGTTGAGCACCCAATGAACTTAATGTCAAACAAAATGCCTGGGAGCTCATCACGAGCTTTTGGTTCCAACTTGCTGCGTATCTACGAAGACACCTACCCAAATGCTAAACCCACAATATTGAATTGCAAACGAAGCGAAGATGCAGTTTTTATGCGAGCTGAAGCTATGCACCTACTTATGTAGGGCAGTGTAACGTGGGAACACCAGAGATTCCTTCATCATGTGCAAAGCATCGTTGCCTGCATGGGCCTCAATGACCTCGAAAATAGGTACCGTTTTGATTACGGTACTCTAACCTCAAATAATCAACGGCATTGGCGATCTTCGGTAACAGCCGAAGAGCCACCTTAACTGACATAAGAATCTGGGTTAGATGGAAGTAAAAAATCTTTATCAAAACGAGCACTAACAAATGAACTCTTACCTTAGCCTTACCATAATGTATTTTAACGAATGGCGAGCGAGACGGTCGAGACTAAGGAACAGTTCTGCAACGCAGTCTATGCTATGATGATGAAGTTAAACAACGGAAACAATGCTCGACTCGGCAGAGCGACCAGTTGCCTCTTTCCTTCCTTCAGTCGGACGATCGCTGATCGCCAATTACGAGATTTTAGCGTACAGAGGTCGCTGTTGGACGACGACTTAAAAAAGAGAGTGAGCACGTGACGAGAGACGTATTCCGGTCTCTTTGATATAATAGGGTGATGGATGCGAGCCACAGCCACGTACCGAAATAAAAACTCCGTTCATTGGCTAATCGTTAACAGGGTTGGACAAGTAGCTCGAAACGAAATGTCTACGTATGAAGTGCGTCGGCAAAAACCGGGCCTTCGCTCATTATTGCAGCCAGCTGTGCCGGCCGTTGGAACGAGGGGAGAGACCGGCAGGCAAGACGCCGCACGCATGGAGGCCGTATCTCCGTCCTCATCTCCTCAACGGCCGTGTTGTCCATCCGTCTTGTGCAATCCGCTGAACAAGCAGCGTCTTCCGTTGACGGTTTTTCATTCCCTTGTGCTATCTCGTCACTCGATCTGCGTTTTCGCAAAAATGAACACCGCCAAAACAACCCTCCTCGGCGTCAGTCGCTGCTCTGCGCCTCTGCCTTGGTATCCGCATCGGCCCAGAGTTCTAACTCCGACGTAAACTCGCAGACCGCCATTGGAAGTGACGAGTAACATCCGCTGTTACACCAAGTCACGAAATAGGGGTGACATTGAGACATGGATATGAATATGTTCAAACCCTGTTAAACGGTGGAGGGGGCGTGGATGTGTTGAGGAAAAGAGGACTCTAATCGGAGCAACGCCATGAGGGTTAGTTTTATATAGCACTTAGGAGATGCGTTCCTGAAATCGCATTTTAGTACCTGTGTTCAAGACGTCAGAGTAGGGACTCTTTCTACCAGTACCGCCTCATAAGACTGTACTAGACCCTGCCCATCCACAACATTCTAGCATGACTGATGATATCGTTGGCAATAGCAGTTCCATTTTCTTAAAAAATGGTTGGAATGAAGTCAAGTGTTGTAGCGCACGTTCGTTCATGCACTTTCATTCAATTCCCAGACACTTTGTCACAGGCTGCGCTTGTTCTGGATGGTATTCATGAGGTTGTGAGTTACCCAGAAGATTTTAAGTTACTGTTGAGTTTTACAGTCAGTTACTTTAAGGTATCACGTATGATAGAGCTGAAAATTCTTGTCTGTGTATTGGTCTATCGGTCGAATGAGGGAGTCGCGTTTGGCGGAAACGACATCAGATTCTGCTCTTGCATGTTTCAGGTTCAACTCAACGAAGTGCACGGTTTCGCATTAATGTGTGTGCTTGTGTTTGTGTTTACGTGTGTCCGTGTTTCGCATCTGAATCTAAGCTCCATGGTATGATGTGTAATGCTCACGGCATCGCCAACTGAATCCGTAAATGAGATCCCCCTAAGCGGCTGCAGGTCTTCTCGAGAAGAATTTTCCTGACACGATGTTGGCCGCCAGAGCAGCAGTGACCGCAGTTTGAGTCCCATATTAGGTTTGACTGAGCACCTGATGCTTTGTCATCGTACATTACATTGTAATGGCATGAAATTCCAGTTTATGAAGAACGATGAAGATCATTTCCGTAGTTTAGTAATGACTAGTACCTCTTTGTTCGTTGCTCTTTCGAAACAATGAAAGTCGAGGATTTGGCGTGGACAACGTTGTTGGACGACGCTGATGGGTGTTCTGTAAGGTCGAGTTTCTAAGCCGTATGGCTGAGGTCACAGACAATGTTAAAATCTGCATTTTCATCGCAGAGAGCAGGTTGCCCCGATGAGGCTTCAAAATGTGGCCTCTTTTCTATTCACCTCCATTTTGCAGTGACAATTGTTCATAGCTCTGCATCCATGATATTTGTGGTAGTCAACGTCTTTCAACCTTTCTCTATGTTGGTCTCCTGTTCTTTCTATCTTCTCATCATTACTTTACCGTCGGCCTGCGTCTATCGCCTGATCTACAAGAAAGAGCCTGAACCACCACATCTGGTAACAGTCGTATTACACATCTTGAATCGCAGAGTGGCTTGATGCCATCCGCATAATCGAGATTAACATAGTTTATGGCTAAATACCTTGAGTTCCTTTATCGGTTTAACCTCAAACCTTCTTCACTCAAACGGTGAATGCTTTGCTACATCACCCAGTCAAGATGAAACCGAAGAAGAATGGCAAAAGGGCGTCGCCCTGACTCACGGCATTTCTGATTTCTGATCGCGTCAGTGTACATTTTCTCAAACATGATCACTAGGTCAAACGGAACAATGCGGAAGAGGCTCTTGTACCACGGAGCTGTGGCCTCCTCAGTTAAGAAGCCCTTAGAAGCAAGAGTATGGTACGAATAGGCGAACGAAACCCGGAGAAATGAGGATCATTGAAATTGTAATAATTTACGCTTGAATTTATCCTTACAGTGTTGGAATTTTACGCACACTGTTCAGGACGCTAAACAGCAGCTGCTAGACTATGTTCTTGGCTATTGCGTTCCGCTGCCACATCGTTACACGCGTGTTTGACGATGTTACCGATGCGGAGGTGAGGTGCATAAGCAGCAGAGGACATATAACAACTAATTTGCTTTGTGTCTCGATTCATGGATCGTCAACATCGTATCAGCTCTCAAGATAATTTTTAAAAAATTATAATAATTTGGGTTTCGCCCAATGTTTATTCACAAATGATGGTAAGACTGCGTATTTCGTTCATAGACTGGTATTCATACAGAAAACCGTACTAAATACATTATATTTATACACAACACAAGCAATTATCTTAGTGGGGTGATTAACCAATAACAATGATCAGTTGGGCCCGTGTTTCATTGGCCGTCTTCAATGCAAAAGAGATAATTCGCCAGGAGCCCAGCCTGCGAACTGTGGCAAACTACAAAAGAACTACAGAATCTGATTTTCCTCTTAAACCCATGTCGTAACGTCGGTACTTCTGAGTCATCTGACTGACCAGTGTTTCTGTACTATATATAAATAAAGCTTTTTTGTACTGTTTGTATCATGGCAAGATACATTAGACAAAAACGAAGCAACACAATAATCATAGGCGTTTCAACTAACAATACTGTTGACACAGGAACTCTAATAACTAGTGAATAACTAGTTATTCTCGAGTAACTTTAGCCTCTTGAATACATGATGGAAGGCTAGCACTGTTGGGAAGTTAAGGCAAAACTGTCTGATACCGATCCACTGACAATGGCTCAATCATTATAAACAAGCCGATGTTGATGGCTTGAATCGAACACATCGAAAATGTCCTCAAACAGAGAAATGAAGAATCGATTTCTTCATTGGAAATTCTTCTCGGTTAAACGAAGACCTGTGGGAAAGGGACAGCGGGCAAACCAGCTGTGTTATTTGATCAAAAGAGGTTATTTACTTATTAGATATTCGCTCGTTCGCTTATTCAAATACGCAGAATCGATAGCAGAAATTTACAGTCTTACGCAAACCTATGAAGAAGTGAGCAGAAATCTGTCAAATGACGTTGATTTAATAAGTTAATCCATTTTTTGTCTACCTTTTTAGTCATTTAGTTACACACCGCTGAATTTTTAACAGTTTTCACCGAGTTTCGGCTGGACCGAGGGTAGGAGAAAGTGGACTGAAGTGAAAATCAGTGAAAATGACAAAAAGGCATTCTGAAATTCCACGCCTCATCACCAAGAGGTTAGACGGTCGATGGATGCCTTTCGAACTTACTTATCGAACTGCAGCCGAAGTGGATAAACGATTTGTGACTCCCAGACATGTCCTTGGTCAAACTCACTGGCCCATTCGTTATTTGAACCTTTGGCTTCAAATTCTTTATTCTTGACGTGATAAATGTGTCGACATAAGGCTGGCTTTGTTGTCAAAGATTCAAAGTTTAGGCACAGACCGCACTTCCTCCATCTGATCCGGTGCTTGTGCTAGATGAACGAATATTACAGTATGCCAAGAAAGTAGTAGACCAAACAAAGTTAAACGCTACATTGATCATTTAGCTCTTGCTATAGCGTTCGAAGTTTAAAACGTACCAATTTATAGGCGGTAGTAGGGATTAGTCCAGTGATCTAATGCCGTCATGTGAAAGTATCACGAAGACGAAATCCTCGTAACCAGCAACGTTTGTCGTTTGTCAGAGCCTTCAGGAAGAGGATATTTTAAATTCAACAAAGCGTCTGGTTGCCAGATCGTATTGCCATGTGAAACGCATCAACTGTTCGGCAAAATCAAAGCCAACGTTCATCTATCAACGACGTAGATATTCGTAAATATTCCCTGAAACGACGGTTCGACGCCGAGCTGTCTGAGCAAAATGGAGTTTTTATGCAAATCTTGACGGTCTGAGTTATCATTTTCATCGCCCAGTTTTATTTGACCATTGACCGTGATGATAGGCAATCAGCGGCTAACGCTTTTCCGGCGATTAAATGCGACTTTCTGAATGTTTATGGTTCCTGAGATCTGACCACCGTAGTTTTTGCGAAAATTTCGCCGATAAATTTGAAACGTCCGGCTTTTTAAGTCATTGAAATGTTACAGTAAGAAATGAAGGTAGAAGAGGATCAGCAAATTCACAGAAATGTTCGATAAAATGCAAAACCAGAAAGATCATGCGCCTAACATGTCGGCTGTCGTTGACAAATGCACCATTTTGGATAAACTCACGGCCTCGGTCATTGAACTTTCGCACAGCATCACTCGTTACTCCGCTGATCGTCAGGAGCGTTCCACTGG